CAAGTTTGGAAGGAGAGCAACGCGCCAAAACGAAGCACTTGGAGAAGAGAAAGTCTCGTTTATGTTGCCCTTTATTAGGGATGAACTAAGCGTACCTATAAAACGATGCTTAAAAAAGGCAGGTCTAGAAGAATCGGTAGCGATAGTTGAAAAACCACCGACTACTCTACGTTGTCAGTTATTTCGTAACCGTCTGTATGACCGTCTATGCGAAACACATAGTTGCGTAATTTGCCCTTACGGCATGGACGGTGATTGCATGAGTTCAACTACGATATACTTGATCTATTGTAATAGTTGCGGAGATGAACATATTGGCGAAACGGGCAAACCTAGGTTTTTTGCATATATGCCAAGAACAATGCAATTAATAGCAGGGAGGAATGCCCAGAGGTCACACACGACCTGGCCCTGTGCTTTCGGATCAATTTCTGATGTGGGGTGGTGCAGTCATCAATCATATGCGACTATAATCAGCTGTTCTTATCTTCCTCATTGGAAGTCACAAAAAAAGGTGGTGACTTTTTCGAGAACCTGTTGTTCATGTAACTGCAATGGAGTTTTCCGTCTTTTTGAAAGTTTTATTGAAGCGTTTGGCCTAGTAAATTGTATATCAGTATACCCTACCACAGATCTCCCTCACCACGGGTTTCCTTGATATCAGAGATCTCGTGCCGGTTAGTCGCGAGGCTACGTGGCGCATCCCCAGGTGGCGAGTAGGGGTTAATCGCAGACCAAAAGCGAACTTTGCACCTGAGTCCAAAGGATTCACCCCCTGTTTTTCTTGCGCCGATTTGGCACATACGTTCTACATGGACTTGGAGAAGTTCTACAGAGAAGAGCATACATTTTTCAAGCTCATCACTGAAGATTATAACGTCAAGATTGGACCAAGCAGAACGCCTAAAGAACGTCACATTGGGCCTCACGGATTAGGATGGAACGAGCAGGGTGAGCGGATCTCTGAGTTTATCATGACGACCAAGACCACCCATGGTAACTCGCAATTCCAGAAGTCCCACTCTCAACGCTGGACATGGGAGTCTCCCAGTGGGGAGCACTGTAGCGAAATAGACCAAATCACGGTAAATAGAAGGTTTTGCCTAACCGATGTAGCTGTTTTCCCAAAATTTTACATGGGATTAGACTACCACCTCCTTCGTGCAAGCTTCCATTTCTCGCAGAAAGGAGGAAAAGCCGCTAAATTCAAAAAACTAAGCACGAAAACCACCATGAACTGGGTTCAATTCACCAGTGTGCTATTGGGAAGATACCGCTGTCGATAACATCGACGAAGAATACAGTCAGCTTATTCAACATCTTCGCGTTGTCGCTATGAAAGCTGAGAGTTCGAAAGTCACCAAGAGACGTCTGGGATAAGAAGATAAGACTAGAACACCTGAAGAACCTTCCGCTAGCCCTCGTAAACACACTGGTTCGGCTCTTCACACGTTACCTGTCTGAATTCAAGGTCGCTATTCAGTGGAAGGCCAGCAAGACCGTGTTATTGTTCAAGAAGGGTGACCTGCACCATATCGGCAGCTATCGCCCAATCTGCTCGGTGTCTGTCATTTACAAACTTTTCACTCGACTCATCCTAAATAAGATTGACAGAACACTGGACGAAGGACAGCCATGTGAACAAGCAGGGTTTTGAAGAGGATTTAGTATGATGGACCACATCCACATGGTAACACGGCTCATTGAAGTATCGCGAGAATACAAGAGACCGCTTTGTCTCACTTTCATCGATTTAAAGAAAGCCTTTGACTCAATTGAGATAGAAGCCGTCATGAAAGCCCTTGATAGTCAAGGAGTCCTTACTCGTACATAAAGATTCATCATGAGCTGTACAAAAATTTCATAACCAGGATATCACCATTCTACAACGATATTAACACAACCTTTTCATTTACTATCTATTCTTTTTAACGGCACGGTATGTTGCGAAATATAACTTCTACAATGCTGAGACTTTTGCAAAACTCCGGACCGCAGGTATCTGCGGTGGGGAACGAACACGCTATCGTCCTTTCCGGGGAGTAACGCGTTCACCACCACACCATGCGGGTCCTTCGTTTTGCCTGTCTCTCTGCTAGTTCTATCAATCTTTTTTGCCATCAGCAATCACCCGTCAACGAGATTGATCTGGAGAGCCCAAATCGGCATTGAACCCAGTTAAGCTGAGACTATAGTTATAATTGTATGGCTATTATTAATATTATTACTATATTATAAGGCACATAAGGCCCCACCGCATACACCTGTGGTCCGGAGTTTTGCAAATATTTCAGCATTATAGAAGTGATATTAACATTCACATCAAAAGAGAGGTTAGGCAAGGTGATACTATCGCGCCAGAATTATTTACCGCCACCCTGGAGAACATCATGCGAACGTTGGAATGGGATAATATGCTAGTGAAAATCGATGCTCGGCAATTATACCATCTTCGCTTCGTTGATGACATCGTCCTTATAACACCAAACATTAGCCAAGCGAAAGGAATGCAGGCCGACTTTGACAAAGTTTGTGGAAAGATTGATCTTCGACTAAATCTCATAAATGCGATGTCTATGAGGAGTGGATTGGTTTCGTATGGCCCATTCACGCTCAACGGAACGAATATTTCCGAATGCTGCAATTACGTCAATCTATGTCGGGAAATCAATATGATGAACGACCTAGCTCCAGAGCTGAGCAGAAGAAAACGAGCAGCTTGGGGAGCTTTCAAAAGCATCGAGGATATAGTGAAGGTAACAAATAACACCCGACTCCGCGCCCACCTTTTCGACTCAACAGTACTTCCTGCGTTAACGTAAGCGTCAGAAACCTGGTCGTTGCGTAAACGGGATAAAAGATCACTCAGCGTTATCGGACGCGCAGACGAAAGGACGATGCTGGGAGTATCCCGTACAATTAAGGGATAGGATCGGAAGATCCGACCTGCGTCAACGATCAAAAATCAAAGATGACGTTCTGTACGCCGAACAGTCGAAGATAAGATGGACCTGTTACGTAATGCTTATGAATGACAACCGATGGACAAGAGCCGTTAGTGACTGGATTCCTCGGGATGTCAAACGTACTTCAGGAAGACCACCTGATGACTCGATGGTCGGAGTTCTTCACAAAGCGCCTTGAAGAAAGATGTGATGCTCGACGAGTCCCTAGAGCGAGCAGAACCCACTGGGTTACCCCTGCACGCAACAACGAAAAATGGATGATCTACTGGCGCCCGCTCGAGTCACTCGACGGCCAACGGAACTACAGGTGACAAAGGTGATAGGCACTGTTCACACTCACTGCCTACAGACTTACCCAGAGTTGCTTGTGGGTGACCCATAAAAAAAGCCTTCGCTCGCTTAGTGTGTCAAGTGGGTTTTGTTTCTCGTTCTTCGTACATCAACAATACTTAATCTTTATTGTAACCATATAGTAACGTTTAGATAAACACATAAAGCTAAGAGCTCTTTAATCTGGAAGAGAATAATTCAAACAACTCATATAGATTAGAAAAAACATTGGAACGTCCTTAAATTAGAACGGTGCACAAACAAAGCTCTCTCGCTCCGCCTACATGATGCTCAAGTCGTAAATGATTAGGACGAGAAAAAAAAAGGAAAAGGAGATATTTGTGAACATATGAATTGCTTCGTACAACTAACAACACAGGAGACCAGACAAGCAGAGGGTCCACAGCTAGCGAATTTTATTCTAAAAATTCTTAAAGGCCCAGGTAATGTGCGCTAGTGACTTCGCACGGTACGCAAGTCCCTCGTAGAAAACAAAACGAAACAAAACAAAATAACATTTGATGCAAGTGATCATGTCGGTACTGGTTATTCAAATTCAGTAACAAGATGATTAATGAATGAAGAACACAGGCAGTGTAGCATGAGATACAGCTTGAAGAAAGGAGACATTACTGGTACAGTAAACCGAATTCGCTAGTGGCGGCTCTGCTATATCGACATCGAAATACGACAAAGTTAATGAATATCGCAAAGAGGGACGTAACGTATGTGTTCTGAGGTCTTTCTTCTGCGTAGTATTGAACCATGTTCACAACAAGAAGAATTATGAAAACGTATAATGAACAATCCAGACATTCTTAAAACCATTTCATTTGGTCCATTCATCGCCACCATGGAAGCTGATAGCTTGTCTTTCAAAATGACCATGAGTTAGGAGCAAAACGTGCTCTAAGTATGCAGATTTCGATGATGATCTTTATGGTAAGAATTTGTGAAGGGAAGAATACAAACGGAATGGATTACGACGCCGATATACAGAACTTACACTGCAATCATAATCCGTCACCAACAGCAAAGAAGAAAACGAAGCAATAACGCGTATGGTCGTGGCAATTCGGGTAGGAATCGAACCATTTCCTATGCATACAGGATGAAGAAGAGAAACAGACTTTGGAAGAGAAACGGAGACACGAAGAGAGCTACTGATGGGCAACATTAATGCAAAGAAATACTGTAGCTGATGATTCGCAATTTTCATAAATCCCACGAAAATTGAGTGCATCAGCTGCTTAGCTCGGTGACGAGATCAGTACATGTGTTAACAAACTGTAGGTAATTCTGCACCATCATTGTGTACATACTGTAATCTCGATCACGATGCCAATTGGCCAATACAACTATGTTTTAATAAGCCGTCTATTTTACACAATAATTTCGCTCATTCACAATAGATGACACAAAATATGCAGACAAATGACCACTTAAAAATCAGACGCCCATGACAAGTGAGTCGAGACAACTTAACAATGCCTATAGCAAAAATGGTAAAGGGCAAGCGAACTGTAGCAGCACATAGCCAATTGAAATGAGGCAATAAGAGTATGAAGGGTGAGCCCTTGGAGGTATTAATGGCGAACTTTGGTGATGACGATTTCGCCCTCTCCTTCTTAATTTTAAGCTCACAAAGTATACCATACGGAAAGTGGACTAGAGAGTATCAACTGTACATTAATCATACTAATTCTACTTTTTGCTCCGCGAAAAGAAACCACCCTTTTTCGCCTTCGCTTGCGCACCCTCCGGCAACGTATGGGACCGAGATCCCTCTTCCAATTGTGCCTGACCAGTTGCCAGTTGCAATTCACTTAACCATCGCTGACAATCCTCCTGAAAATGTTCAAATGAGAATATTCTCAATTTTAACTTATTATTTACTGCCTACTCTTTTTTAACGGCAGGGTATATTGCGAAATATAACTTCAATGATGCTGAGATATTTGTAAAACTCCGGACTGGAGGTGTCTGCGGTGGGGAACGAATGCGCTATTGTCCTTTCCGGGGAGTAAAGCGTTCACTACCACACTATGCGAGTCCTTCGTTTCGCTTGTGTCACAGCTGGTTCTATCGATCTCTGCCATTAGCAATCACCCGACAGCGGGATTGATCTGGAGAACTCAAATTGGCAATGGTGTGGTGGTAAACGCGTTACTCCCCGGAAACGACAATAGCGCGTTCGTTCTCCACCGTAGACACCTGCCGTCCGAAGTTTTGCGAATATCTCAGCGTCATTGAGAATATTCTCTTTCGTGGTTTCAATGATTGCCAATAAAAAGGATAGGAATATGATACTTCAATCACTTATTATCAGTTACTACCACATTCATCATCATATTGTCATTTATCTTTTCTCGCATTCCTTAACAACCGCACCTATTTTAAACATTAAATCCTGATAGCACCGTTTGGGTGAAAAAAAAATGGCGGAGAGAAAGGCAAAGTAAAGGCCTCGGTTAGTGCTGTTGATAACACCCCAGCACCGGGAAAGGGTGTTCGCCTGTTCGAAGCGCACCTAAGGTCTCGAATTTGACTCATATCTCAGCACCATTTTGGTTGCACTTCATATCACACGCTGCAATGAGAAAATAAGAGGCAGTAAATAAAGGTTAGAACACTGAGATATCCATCTATTCCACCTATTCTTGAAACTAGTTCTGCTCATTCCTTAAGAAAATCTCTACAGTGAATAAATAAATCACCATTACCGCTTGAAAACAAGAACAAAGAGAAAATCCAACGGATTTTCACGAACAAAAGAACTAGAGACTTAACTCTTCTTGTTTAGTTAAAGACTAGCAAAGTTTTTATATACAATATTGAACTCTAAAACAAACCAGGGGCAGCACTTACAAATTAAACAACCCATAAACGCTAAAGCTAGCTTTTAAGATGTACCTCGCTTGCACACTGAAGAAGGTACTCTGCTCCAATAGGCATTCGTAACGATAACACGTTTTTCTTTTTCTGATAACCCTGCGCTACATTGACCGAACAACCGGGTAAGTTCACCGCCGGCTCATTATGGAATGTAGCACCTTCTTCTCTGGAATATGAACTAACTCACTGCTTTATATGATAGTTAAGAAAAAAACTTGTGTCGAAATGCATTAGGAGAAAAACGATTCAAAACTCATTGTCTACATTCCTGCACTGAGAAAAGTCGAAAGAAATCACTTCGAAAATTGTATTTCGACTTACTTGTGTTTGGCATCCTTATAGAATGTAAGCTCGTTGTTGCGCAAAACTGCAAGCAACTTCTCCCACGATCGGTTTGACGCCTTTCTGTCCAATGATTCGTAAGTATGTTTCCGAATTAATGTTCCCTCAAAAGCATCACCTGTCTTCGTTCCTAAAAATGAAAATACAAAAAAAATCCTTGTTTTCAAAAAACAACACTTACTAGGAAATTTTAAGGACCAGAAGATTTCAAAGTATGCAGATGTAAGATAAAAATGACCCGACAGATTTTTTTCTTCGCACAGTGAGAAAATTTTCAAAACTGAAGTAGTATGAAAAATAAGAAGCCCTCAAATTGTTGACTCCATAAAAAGTTCGTATCCTCTCATATGTTTTGTTATAGCAAGATACTCAAAGAACCACAACATGCACAACAAAAATTACCTCGCGGGTCACGCGAATCGAATTTTGGTGCCCTTGCCAGGGACATGCGCCAGCCACTACTTTCACCAGTTGATAACCGACTACGTTCTGCAACCTAGTTGCACTATTCGTAAAGCACACAATAACAAGCACCAAACACAACAACAACAACGACAAAGCACACTCGGAACTAAACGGATTATTCGAGTGATCAAAAAGCTGCAAATGCAGAATACGGTTGAATTAAGAGACTCCAAGTAGTTAATAAACGAAAGTTTCATTTCTACTTTTTCTAAAGAAAAGAAAATGACGTAAGCTTTGCCGATAATCATTAACTCATTCGCACTGAACAGATAGTTCTAATCATGCAATAAAAACGGTTTTAAGAGATACTCTCTAACAGTAATTTTGCTACTAGAAAAATTATTAAAAAGTTTGGTGAACAGAGGACTTGACGAGGTCTTCAAACTTTTCAAAAAAAGACAGTGATTCCAACAACGACTAATGGGGTTCTCGAGAAACGCAAAGAACTAGACAACATCGCAAATATGACGACTTATCTAAGAAAGTACTTAGACAAGAGCCCAATTTCGTTCTTAGATCTCTCTAATACAGTTTTGTTTAAAATTCATGCAAGTGAAAACGGGAAGAGAAAACTGTCTAACTATGAAGAAGCTAACCCAAAGTGCTGGTTCGCGGTGCTCCACTGCTGTCGAAACTGCTCATGGTCATATTGAAATCTGTAATTTCACAGCACTCCACTTCACGAGATTTATTCATTCTGACAGAAAACCAAACCATTCAAAGTTAGGGTTTTAACGTCAGATGTAATACCATGGAAATGTCTACGCAAAAAAAAACTTGAAAGCAAGAATTACATAACTTGAACGATCTGGTTCTCACAAAATTGATACGGGTATACAAACTGACAAAATAACAACCCAAGCATGCGTCAGCAAACTTAAGTGTAAAAGTGCAAGCCTACTTGTAATTCAATGAGGCGGACAATGCTTTGGTACAGGGCATCTCCAACAGTAGATGAGATTTCAAAGGAAATACCCTACGAAGTGAAAATAAAACTCACCGTCTGGATCAACACCGAAACCTTCATGCGGCTGTCGTGATGGACTGCCTAGATAGCCACGCCTCCTCGCCGCTTCCTCTTCCAACCGTTGCATTTCCTTCAACTCGAACTGAAAGAGAAACAAGTCAAGTACATTTATACTTCCAGGAGCTCACAAAAACTGTCATCGTAGTTCCCAAGCGTTTCAACTACATAAGATTTCTGAAATTCAGTGATTGTGCTTGGCATTCCGTCGATCTAAAACGTTTTACTAAATTCATGTTCTGTTCATTGTAAACTTTCCAACCAATTACTACTTTAAATGGCCGCTAAAATGTTATCTAAATAACTAGTAATGATTTCTACATCATGTTTTATTATATTTACTTTACAATTAATGCACTTTCATGAACTGTGGGATGGGATGTACCTTGAATTCCCACACTGACAAAATTGCAGAAGAAACCTCGAGAAGACAGATCAAATAAAATGAGGATACAAAAAAATTAAATACACTTCAAACCCAGAAATTTTCATTACAAAGCGCAATATGTGACAGGTGATGACAAAATTTGTACATGAAGTTCTAAGAATATCCTGAAAAATACCCGAAAGGACGGGAACGAGTGAGAAGCATTTTCATATAAAAATAATGATTAACTTAACAAGTTTGAGACGACACGCATTGGTCTCAGCGCATGCGTGCTCTAAAGTAACTTCGGCTCTAAAATTTAAACAAGCGTATTTCGAAACGAAATTCACTAATCGGAATAAAGACCACTAGGATGTACACAAATTTGCTTACAATATACAACCTTTTTTCACCTATAGGGAGAACACTTCGTCTCATGGGGCCTCCAAAAAACCTTCTCTTCTCGTAGCAGCCCGTATTCCGAACATCAATATATTTGAACAGTGAGTATTTCGTAGAACAGGACTGCGCCTCCCAATGTATAGCTAATATCTGCTGGTACCGCACTGTACCTCACTTGCACTTGAATTTTTAAAAACTCAGCTTTAGCCTCCATTTTTTTTTTGGAAAATTGGTTTAACATAAACATTAAAATGAAACATCGTAACAAAAAACTACACAATTCTTTATAGTCATGCTTCTATAAACCCCAGCCCTCATGTTCTCAAGCACTCTACCTGTCGAAAAACTATTGGCAATTGCTGAAAAACCTACTCTGATGTGAATGTGTATTGTACCATATTAATTGAAAGAGCAGAGAGTCATTAAAAGATACGCTAACCGTGGTCAGTTTTTCCAAAGCAAGGAATCTCTCTTCTTGAGCAGCCGCTGACTTTTCAAAAGCTTCGTGTCGCTTTATCAAGGCTATCGTCTCTTCCAGACTTCTTCCATATTCCCGTGATATGAGGTACGGCTCCTGTGCCATAAGCCAAGATTCCGCAACAGCAGCATCGCGGGCAAACTGATAGACTTCGAGAACTGTAGAGAAAAACAGATGACCCTTTATCATCGTGGGCAAACATGACACCAACACTCGAAAACAAAACACTAATGTGAACGTAATGCAACTAATTATCCAGAATTCTTCAAAATCCTAGTTTATTATAACCTCATTAAGTCTGTGAAAAAGCCCTATATTTGTCGTTATTGAGTGCTACTTTTATAAAGATGGCGCCTCAGTACAAGATACAAATTTTCATGGAAAGTGGAGTACTTAGTGATAGAAGCTTATTTCTACTTATTTGTTTATGATAATAAATCATTTAGAAAACTAGTACTCGGTAAATTCCACCATTAATTAACACAATATGAACATGTCTACTTCTATGTAGAATAAGGCTACTTACTAAGTTGCAAATATTCCCATCTATCCTCCCACCGTCTCATCATTTCCGCTCTTTCCGTTGTCAGCTTTATCAGCTTCTTTTCGATCTCACTTGATGCGTAGTGCTTTCGATTTAACAAGTCTCTTCCAAGTGAAATACAGGAATTGAAATTGTCCTCTCGAGCGTCAATTTCAGCCTATAAACTGTCAGATTAACAAAAATGTTAAAATTCCGCTTAAAAAAGTTGTCTAACCTTCAGACTTTGGTGATTATTCATGAGCAACTCAACTCCGCTAACGTCTTTCGGTCGTTCTTGAGTTGTCATCTCGCGTTTAACTTCGTCCATCCACAGAAGAAGATCACTAAATAATTGCCATGACCTATCAGTATTGGTCAACTTGTCCTATCGCATTCAACTATATACAGTTACATATCATAGATACTCAAGACAACTGGCTTGTGCCAACCAAGCGTTTATAGCGACATTCGCCATGCATTGGAATGTCCACCCAATAATAGGGAACGTGAGCTTGATTTAGACCGTCGTGAGACCGGTCAGTTCTACTCGACTGTTGACGTATTGTTGTGATAGTAATTCTGCTAAGTATGAGAGGAATAGAGGTTCAGACATTTGATTCAACGACTTGACCGATCGGTCAATGGTTCGAAGATAGCGCCTGGGAGATTAAGACTGAGCGCCTCTAAGTCAGAAACCCACCTAGTCAAGGTGACGATAATCGTTTCCCGGTGTCGGCAGGCAACCACATCTCATGACATATATATGACATCAATGTTCACGCCCTAGTATATAGCTTTGACTATATGAAGAGTAAGTGCTGGTTGCCAAAGCCAGAGCACTCTGGTTCAAAGTCGGGGGCGCAAAATCACATGTATATGACGTGTATACTGGTCACGGTATTGAATCCTGTACAGCAGTGAGATTTTCCGGGCTTTCCATCATAAAGCCTAGCTAAGAGTAAACCACTACCAGGAACGACCACCGTACCGGTATCAAACTAGTCGCATGGTGGCAAATCTCCCTCTGATCCATAAGGGCTACGACTGCCTGCGGTGGTGACGACCAAGGGTAGACTTTGACCAGACTGACGAGGTCCCAGGGAACTACAATGGCTCAACCGGCAAGTTTCCAGAAAGTGTAAAAATTGAAAAGTGGAGACTATGTTGGAGCCCGCACAACTAGTGAAGACGGGATGTCCAAATACCCAAAGGATCATAGACACTGAAAGCACATTGTGAGAGCTACTAACCGGACCATATTCATGAATCGGAACAGATCAGAAGTATCCGTAAGTCTCGAGGTTCTTGCGTCGCACAATCCACGCAAATGTCTCCATGCCTTTACCACCTCAGACTCACGGGCTGCCATCTCTAGTGCACGATCGCCTGCGTACCCATCTCGTAGATCACCAGCATCACGTTCGATTTGAGCTACCTGAAAATGAACTAATCAGTATAATGCAATTAGGGAATGTCTTGAAACCTCTTTCAAAACGCACCAACACAAAAGCAGCCTTTAATGATAAAGGGATAAAGCTCTCGGCATTGATCTATCCCTAAGGGACGCCAGCTCGTTGTAGGTGACTGAGCCGTGGCCTACCAGTGTGTCCAGCCAGTGCTTCCGCCCTTCCAGACAAGTCTGCTATCAATTCGCAGATCCCAGATGGATGGAGGGTTTGGTGAACCATGAGCGCTGGGATCGATCTCTGGTGTATTATAAACGCCTCCACCAATGCGATACACGCGCTCCTTCCTTTAGTGAGAAACTTTTAAAATTCGATCTCATACCTGCTCTCCAATGGCATCAATATCTTTAAGGAAGTTTTGGTGCTTCCTAGACAGAGCACCAACACTGCTTGAGTCGCGTCCCAAATCTTCAGGCATAGCATGCGTTTTCTCGAGAATTCGCGAAAGGCAATCGCGGCAATCATGGAAAAATCTGCAAGCGAACTTGCATTGGAACGTCTCTAAGAAAGGTTTCCTATGCTTATGTAGCTTCAAAAATTTCTAGTTACATATCCACACACGCGAATCAAACACACTTGTGCAACAGTCTACTAGATTCCAATATTTGTGCACGGGTGTCAATCAGTTCCAGAAGATTTTCCCACGCCTCATTAAGACTGTCTTTCCACAGTGCGATAGTGGGTGCATCAGAATGACCAGTCGCAATCAACTAGAAAATTTTAAAATCGTGTTGAACATGAAGAAATGAAAACTTAACGGTACATCATCAGCTTATATAGGACCAAGAATACTAGAACCTATAAAAGTAGACCACTTCGTAAGAAAGCCAGCTAATATTCCGTGTTACTACATATTAAGCAAACCAACAATTACTGTTTATGAAAATATGTCAAATACTGTGGTACACAAACGCACAGAAGCTACTGCAATCACATCTTTTTTAAACGTCAAAAGTCCTTATTCTACGAGTCGTAAAAATTGACTCACTGCGTCACAGCCGTCATTTGCTCGCGCTACTCTTTCCGACCCAATATTTTCAGTGTCTCTTGCAAACTGCTGGAATCGCTCTTGAAGCATTTGGACATGCTCGTAATCCTGGCCGTTCTCTTGACTACCAGCCACTACCTATACAGGAAATCAGGATGTTACCTGAGAAAATCGTGGTAATTAGACAAACATAGAATATGCGGTTAATCAGATAGGTAAACAGATTTTATATGTATTTTGAAGAAATGAAGCTAGAGATCCTTCAAAATGAGGTAGGAAGACGTGCTTCCTTATCAGCAATCCATTGCAACAGGTCATCGATTTCACGATGTAGGGCGTATAGTTCTAGAGTCTCGTCCAATCGCTTTCTTCGCTCTTTTGACAAATCTTGGAGACCAGCATACAGTTTCTCAATCTGTGACTGTCGCAGGGCAATTTGGTCACTGAAAAACTCGATATTAGCAATCACTGGCCTAGTTCAAAATGAAAAGAACAAAATGCACTGATACACAGGGTGTTGGATGAGTCCCAAATTACCTACACGTGCCCGAAAATAACTGCGCCTTTTGGAGAGACATACCTCAACTCGTTATGAACTACGTCAGTTAAAATAAGAACTTTTAGAAAGTACAGGTTTATTCAACAAGACACAAGCGTTGCTATTCTATAGAGAGTAAGTTCGAAGTTCTTTTAAAGCTTATTGAACATTCACTCGCTGTCAAAACCGTATTTTGAACAGTACAAGTGATGGACCAATTAGGTCCCTCTATATAGCGTTGGAGTCGGCGACGTCTAACATTGCATGAGGGAATTGCAGGATTTCAACGTCACCTTCATTTTGGAAAACCGAGTTTAGGAAAAGCAAATTTAAAATTAGGCAACTTTAGAAGAACTCTGCATAATCTCAAGTGATAGCTCAAAACCTCTTGTATAAGTATGCCAAATTTTCAAATCGTTACAGTGATCGAAAATTATCAACACTTATAAAAGAACTAGCTGCGCTAAACCTTGAAAAGTTAGATCATAGAATGACAGCGAAACCTAACCTCAGCGGACTCTGTTCATCAACAAACTTTTGTGCTTTGACAGCTAACTGTCGTATGGTATCAGCAAATTTGTCGATATCAGACTGAAGACGCTCATGTTTTTTGATTTGATTTCGAGTAGAGAATTCGTCTTTTCCACGCTCGTCCTATATATGAATGCTTCTTAATGACCAACCAAATAAAATATCAAATACGTAACAAAGTAGGATAGATTACCTGCATCATGTAGAGCTCTTGTTCGCTCATCCAAGCTTCGGCTTCTCCACAATCATAGAGGAATTGATGTGCTTTCTCACTCTCTGCTAGTCTGTGGGAATACACAGGTAAACTACGTGAGAAGACAGAAAAGTACACAAATGTTTATACAAAATAAAAAAATGATACCATGATTCACTGTTTTCTTCATGGGCAAACACGAAGTTGGTATTACAGTATCTATTCTTTCACAATAGCTGGCGTTCCGACGATTTCGCCCTCCCTTGATTCTTTAGCTCTCCTCTCATTCTTCACAGACAAAAACGGCGCTTGTGGGAAACATAGGAAGATAGCAGAAAGAGAGATGCCTCAACTTGTCGCAAAAAAACAACCATTTCTAATGGCTACGAAATGGTAGCTGTTCGGGATACGTTAAGAGGAAAAATCATGCCCAAAGATAATGTTCAGGGAAAATAAGGTCATATTTACCTTGCGCCTCATCTTCAACGAAATAGGTGCAGTTACAGAAAACAGCGCAAAAGGGTCAGAACACTCTAACACCGTAGTTAGTTAGTAACCGTTTGTATGACCGCATGCGAAAATGTATGCGAATCGCATAAGTGCAAAATTTGCGCTGACGCTGGAGATGGTTGCATGAGTTCGGCTACGCTGTACCTAATGTCATGTGAATCGTGTGGGAATAGTCACTATGCTCGCACAAGAATCGAAAACGACAGCGCGTGCAACCCTTGAAGCGTTGTGGATAAATTCCAAAAATGAACCAAAAGCACTGCCATGTGATCACGCCTAACCTTGGGCCAGACCTCGGGCTAGTTTTTTGCCCTGAGCCAGGCACATTCCTTGCCCATGTAATACTTCGCGCGGCTGCTAGTCTCCAGCAAATAATTGGAGAACTTACAGGGAGCAAAAAGGTGAGTGTTTAAAAGAAACTATTTACTACATATAAAACAGCAGAAACGTCAGCTACTGCGAATGATAAATGCTGTAATAACAACCCCGTGTTTACTTATTAAGAAAACAGTGAAGTATTGATCAATGCAGAGGTTAAAGAAAAAGCTGTTCTGGGATTTGCTATACTGTCGTAGATTGTTTGGCTATAAACAACGCCCATTCTATACGCCGTGAAACTGTCGAACATGAGTGGTCCGGACATGCAATGCCTATGAACGACAACGTATGGACAACAGCCGTTAGTGACTGGATTTCCCGGGTGTCAAACGTATTCTCAGGATCTTCGGGATGCAGGAGAACCGCCTACCTATTGGCCACAGTTGTTCACGAAAACCCGAGAAGAACGAAATGATGCTAAATGAGTCCCTAGAGCAAGCAGAACCCACTGGGCTACTATTGCGCGCGAAAAGAAGAAATGGAAGATTTGCTAGAGCTCGTTAGAATCATTCGACGATCAGAAGGACGACAAGTGATTTAGCTGATCACACATTGTTTACCAGACCTGGTTCCTTATTCATCACTTTTCTTTCTCATACCGATTGTCATTTCGTAAAACAAAAGACAAATAACAGCAAAGAACTGTATTCTACCTCTCTTTTCTGCCGTTGATCGCATCTTTCAGTTCTTGCCAAGCATCGCGGAGTTCAGCAATGCGTTCCTCAAAGGCGGCCGAGTTTTCGTGTCCTATAATGTTGGTCACATTCAGTATATGAAGCAATACGATGAGGAAATCTAAAGGCTAAATATGACTAAAATAGTTTTTATCAACAGAAAGATAGATATAAGGTTTTGTTTATTCCGTTCCTATAAAATCTGTACAGAGCCTCATCAGGTCAGTCATTAAACTTATTTACTTAAAAAATCAATAATACGATTGCCAAAAACACATTGGTATCAACGGAAACGTAGATAAACTTTAAACATCCCCTAGCATCAAGATAATTAAATTGTGTAATTCCTGCTGCTTTGAATCAAGTATAAATAATAAAGTACATAGAACACTTTGCCACTAATTGTTATCTATAACTTATTGCCACGATTTCTAGTTGTTTCACCACAACAAAATATTTTTTTTATTTCATTTTATATGTCCCATCATCTGCACGAATCCCAGCACCTTTTGCATTCGATTAGTTTCTTCGCATCAAACATCGACGATGGTCTTCGAAAATTTCGCTTATTGTTTCAGCTGCTGCTTGAAAATTTCGTCTTCGTTATGAATGTAGAAGAATGTTGGTTGAGTCAATTCTCTTTGCAGTTTTGGAAATATCCGGACCAAAGCGTCCCCACATGGAATGGGTGAGAGCATTGAGAAGAGATCGAACTAACGCCTTTAATCTCTTATCGACGGCATCATCACGCTATCCCGGCTCCAGAACAAAATAATTGATGAAAAATTGAAAATGAGGAGCAAACCTGCGTCGATGAGTTCGCGTCCGTTACTGCAAATACGCTCTATCCACGGCTCGTGATTCTCAACCTCATTTGTCAATAACTGCGCGTTCTTCTGTAACCTAAAAAAAAGACATGTTAACCTTCATTACAAGATCAAATGGCTTCAACACATAATGGACAATATAAATCATATGTGACTCATGGGAGAGCGTGCAGAACACCGGTACTGGTGCCGGTTATTGCGCAGACGGTGTTACCCACTTAAGAGCTCGTTTAACCCTACACGGAGCAAACTACGCTTTTTATCCTCATAGGGTCAGGAAAAGAGGAGAAAAAAACGGATCTAAGGAGTATTGGAATAGTGCATTTTGACAGGTTATATAGAGTGATTTAATGAATAAAAAAAATAAAGCACGGCTCGCCATTTTCCAATGGGCACACACGACCTTGTCATCTCAGACTGATAATTTAACGTGAGAGAGGTTAATTACGCATCCGTGTGAGCTCTGTAAGGGGCGTACTCACGTGGAATAATTAGTTGAAGATTAATAGAAAACGGTGAACATGTGAAGAAAAAATCTTTCGGACGATTCCAATGGTCTAAATAGAGTGCCTAGACGAGATGTTGCTGCTATTGGGGAAGTCAGCAAGAAACCTCCGTACGGCAGAGTACTAAAGATGAAGTACGTAAAATGTTTACTGCATAAATAGCTCAGGAATCCTCTGATGATAGGGCGTTCATTGCACATATAAATGAGCAAAAGTCTCTTCTGTTTACGCTACGCCTTTGAACCTAGTGCAGGGTTAGCACTGAATACAGCAAAAAATTAGGCACCATCATACGCCATCACCACTCAGAACTGAGTGCTATTTTGATTGTGTTCTGTTCTGAGCTGTTCTTTCCAGTGAATTCATTTGTTGCAACGGTGGAAGGACGCACCTTTGGCAATCTGGTAGATTTTCACCGAGTTGTTTAGAGTGAGCCAAATGGAGTCTCTCCGCTATCCACAGTTTTTCGTCGTCGACATCGCGACCAAACTGGAACGCCGCCTTTTTACGCTCCAACTGACGCCGACGATCATCAAGAGGAGCTTGAAGTCTACAAAGACGGTAACTCTGTTAACTAAAGTTATTTTTTAACATTGAATTACTGCCTATGTTTTTTCTAAAGACAGCGTAGATTGGATTTTACATTGACTGTTTCGATGAGCTTTGTCTTACATATTTAAGGAGTGTCATACTAGGCTATGTCAAGAATAGCAGCACTAAAATAATGAAAAAGTTTGAAGGGCACCAATTTTCTGCATCATACATAACAGACCTTTGAAGCTGCTCCTGTACGGCTAATCGATGTGCACGAATGTCTTCTAGTTCGTCTGGATGCATTTCCTCCAGTTGTGGTTCCATTTCCATTAGTTGGTCAATGTGGTGTGCTCTAAATGTAGCAAATATATAAATCCACTTAAAAAATGAATCCACACTTTCTAGAAACGAGAAATGACAACTTTTTAATCATTTCAGTTTCAATCATCTGTTGCTTCTGCATAGCCATATTTACAGTAGTAAGATCAGCAGCTGGATCGTCCCGTACCATTTCCTTTTCCAGCTGGCTGGCCCACTCCTGAAGATATCATATAACAACATTTTTAAAGTTCATAGCATGTGCAAATAACTATCAAATATATAAATCGTTCACAATAAAAATGTCGCCTTAGAGAAACTAACTGACCATAAACTTGATTCATGAATACTATCTGAAAAAAGTGGGAACGGAGCTTTGCATTTGTCGGTTAGCAATCTCTCTCAGATTTACAGATTTCGTGCACTTTGCCTCTACAAAGTGCGCATATCCTCCTTTTACAAAATCCCTCCCATATACCACATTCCATGTACTGAGCTCTAGCTAGATGTAAGAAACGGTTAAACGACAGCCAAAATTACCCTCAACGATAGAACTCATCAAAAATGTTTTCCAGAGTACAACCAGAACATAATACTAATTCGGACTATACAGTTCTAATCGGCTAAAATTTTCTTGCCTTAGAAGCCCAGGAGAACATGCTTCGAAAGAAAAACAGATGGGCCCTTCACGTATTCAACGATAAATAAATGAGTACAACAGTAGAATTAACCCCAAAATATGGTGACCTCTATGATAAGATGCGCGATCATGTTAAGCTAACATCAATCAGTAGTACTCACACCTGAACATGCTTTACAGATCACGGTATGATAACGGCACAAGCCCCAAACAGATCACCAGCATCGCAGAATATTACGAGGGAAAAGTAAATGGAAAAAGTGCTCTCGTTCGCACTATTTGTGAAAACGAGCGGTCTCGAAACATCCAAGAACGAAGAAATCAAATATTAGTCAAAGGATAGTAAAAATCGTTGTAACCTTCATGTCAGCAATACTTTGGACATACAGCTGTTGACGATTTGCATCGAACAGCTTCTGTCCTTTTTCTTCGGTGGTCTTCTCCAACTGCTCCCACTGATGAGCGAGTTCAGTGATTTGAGGATCAATGGTTCCACTGAATTCAGGTTTATCAGCACCCAAATCGATAGCGGCATGCTGTAGTTGGTCAAGTCGCTCCTGTAAGCAGTGAAGCAACACTTACACGAGAAAATGAAAAAAAAACAACTATAGAGCATGGCAACTCACTTTGTTTGCCTGTAGCTCGCTTTGGAAAGCTTGATGGCGAACGAACTTCGACGTAATTGTTTTTGCATCCCTATAACGCCACCTACGTCAATTACATGAGAAAAACATCCTTCGGAAATTCTAAAAATTGCAGTAACTCCCAATTCCGACTTTCTATTTACCTCGGCATTGATTGAATAATTCTTTCTACTTCTGTTCAGCAAACACGAGGCGCTATTTTATTTCTTTACTTACGTACAAGCTACCATTTCGGCGAATTCCGCCTTCCTCAGAGCCTGGAAAGGTCAAGTTGACAGCAATCTACTCGGCCAAACACCTCCACAACCAAACAGAGAAAACGCTAAACCAAGATTTCAATCACATTTAACATAGCTCTGCACACTCACCGCTTTCTATGAGTCTTCCACTGAGTATGTCGTGTAAACACCGACTGCACAGAATTCACATGGAAGCGTAATGTGCGCCTCCCATCAGAATAATAGGTTTACATACTGTCCAATATCACGCGTGATAATGAGGTATTCCTCCCTGTGGTTCATTTTCGGATTCTTCGAATTGATCTAGAATGCCTCTAGAGTTTTGCGCGCTCGTGTTCTCGATTCTTGTGCAAGGATCGTTACCCTTACTTCAAAATCTCCGTTATGTTTCTGCGTGCTATGCGTACCTAGTGGAGTACTTGGCTTACGTTTGCCGACTAGGTGTTTTTTTATACGTACGCAAAGTGGTCTACCCGTTTCACCAACGTATTCGTCCGCGCATTACAAGAGATCAGATAGACTGTACCAGAACGCATACAGTCACCGTCTCTACCATTGGGACAAATTATGCAATTTTGCGTTACACATAGACGGTTGTATAGGCGGTTACGAACTAGCTGGCGTCTTAGATTACTCGGTAGTGTTTCGATTATCGTTACCGAATTCTCTAGACTGGCTCTTCTTAAACAGCGTTTTATAACTGCACTTACTTCATTTGAAATAAAGGGCAGTATAAACGGTACCTTGTTGTCGCTAGAGTTATCGTCGGGGTACCCGTGGTTTCCTCTACACCTATCTCGAGCACGTTCCTATAGAGGGCAGTGACGTCGAAGGACTCCACCACGTACGCGCTGTTGGGTCGAGTCCACTTGGTACGAGTTCAAGATTTGTTATTCTGATGGGAGGGGCACATTACGCTTCCATGTGAATTCTGTGCGGTCGGTCTTCACGCGACATACTCAGTGGAAGACTCATAGAAAGCGGTGAGTGTGCAGAGCTATGCTAAATGTGATTGAAATCTTGGTTTAGCGTTTTCTCTGTTTGGTTATGGAGGTGTTTGGCCGAATAGATTGCTGTCAAGTTGACCTTCCCAGGCTCTGAGGAAGACGAAATCCGCCGAAAAGGCAGCTTGTACGTAAATAAAGAAATAAAATAGCACCTCGTGTTTGCTGAACAGAAGTAGAAAGAATTATTCTAAAAATTGCGACAGTAGGAACAACAGAGGCTGGATCTTAATACACTAGTGAAGCTACAAAACGTGCGCAAAGATGTCTTAATTAATGGGGAATTCACCATACAATAAGTGACTAGCTAAACAAACATTGGCGAAACATAGTCAATCCTTATTAGTTGCATAAGTTCTGTATAACGTATATATACATAGTTTTACAACTTTCGTGGGGTGAAGTCCAAGAAGAATGTTTGAAAGGAACACCTGTAGGTTTCGTCTTGCGCTCGAATCATTTTCTCTTCAATCCACTCTCTCAGCTCTTCACAATCGGAGAGGAACTGCTGAAGCGAAAGGGCATCCTTTAACTTACTGAGTAATACTTGAGCACGTTCACGATTAGCCTCGCGACGTTCATCAATGTTACGAGCCTTCTTATGGATCTGTAAACATACACACATAATAAACAGTCGTCATTGGTGACTATTTCGAACAAATTAATCCAAACAGAACAATGTAAATATGACCATCTTAGAAATCACTATAATATCCACCTTATCCGCTGCGTAGTGTCCATCTTGACAAAGCTGATCTCCAAACATTCCAACGGCACGTATCTTTTCGTCGTTTGCATCCATGGTGGTCATGAAATCCTAGAACGATAACTCCATATGAGTAACGTAATTAAAGTGATCACATAACAATAAGCCAAATGATATCTGAGCCTCTCTTCTTTCCCAAATAACCATCGAATAACAAACAAATATTTTTAAAAAAACGAAGAAAATACCGTGTAAGAAAGAATCACTGCAAATAGATTCAATAACTACCAACTTGATGTCTCTTCAGCATGTTTTCTGCCTGCTCCAAACTGTTCGGAGCTTCGTCTTTGGTGAGGTAATTCTCCTGTTGTGAAAGCATTACCTCCGCCTGCTTTGCGTCTCTCAGGAACATCTTAAACACTTCACGATGACTTAATTTGATGATTACTAACAAAAAAAAAAAAGACAAAGAGAGCGACATTAACCAACCATTGAGTGATGCTCAATATACTCAACTTTATCAAGTATAGAATTTTTTATCAACTTTATCAAGTATAGAATTGACTAAATGCCTATTTGGCCTACGCAATAGCTTGGTTGTGGTCTACTGATCAAGTCACCGTTTTTACCCACCTAGACAATTTTGGCGGCAAATTGCTGACCCCGGCGAAATAGGTTTAGTAAGTCTTGGTGGGGGCATTCAAACCGGCAGCTGATCCAATATTCACTGGAGTGCACCTCTAACCACTGTACTATACGCGCCTTTATAGGTAACATATGTATGTAGTACAATTAGTAAGGAAAAAAAAGCCAATAGCGCCTTAATCTATATTCAAGAACTCTCATTAGAAAACCAACCTGAAGATTTAGTCCCTGACTGAGCAGATGTTGCCTGTTGTCCCACATACGTTGCAGTTCCTCCCATCCCTCTTGCAAGCCGACGAGACGTTGCCGAAGGAACATGTACCTTTCAATAGCAGATGTTTCTTTGCTAATCAATAAACGAAAAAGTGGATATTAAGTCAATTCGTGAAGTACAAATAAACAAGTAACAATCATACTGAGGATCGGTCTGGTCCTGCGTTACGCGATCTCCCATGGCGCGCATCTTCTTGTAGTCCTCAGCGTATCCATCAATTTCTTCACGAATAGCAGCATGCTGGTTAAGCAATTGCTCCGCTTCAGCTAACGATTGTGGCTCGTCTTCAGATGCAACCTGTTGAAAACGTGAAATATAAATGAATCTGTATTTCGCCATACCTGTCGTTTGGAACACCCATCCACCGTAGTAAATATATGGGTCCAGCATTATATAGCTCACATTTTCGCGTAATAAAGGTCTGTTCTTTCTTGCTTATAACAATTAAGGAATAACTGAAGTTAGGTGCCCAACCTTCGCAACGTTCCCCAACTATAAATTTGTGCCATTTCTTCGCCTACGAAGATCAATAGGGAAAGAAAAAGAATATTTATTGCTAGTGCCGTGCAAAGTAAACTATTCTTGCCAACGTAACAAAGTGAAAAGTTGGATTAAAACCTCTATAAATCAAAAGCTAAACATTTGGGTTACTGTTGTCTGGGTCAGTAGATGAAAGACTGAATTCATGAAGATTTATAAACTCTTGCGTCCGCTTCACCTGTGTTTTCCTTCATCAAGAAATGAAGACAAGAGATTGGCTAAAAATATACAAATACACACTTGTCGCTGCGTAGCGGTAAGCCACGCCTGGAAGTGATCCAGGTCACGAAGGAATCGTTGCAAATCGCCAGCTTCATCCAGTTTCGCTTCATGTTCGCGAACTTTTTTGTTGAGAATGTCCCACACCTTGAATTAAATACGGTTAACAAACGTATATAAGAATGAAAACGCGAATTTCACACTACGAACATGATGGATACGTTTAATGTCCTCACGAATCGCTTGCGCTTCTGAAGGTCGTTCTTTTTCTATGGAATCTGCTTCTTTATGAAGGGCATCCAGTTTCAGTTGGATTGCGCCTAGATCGCGCTCCATCATAGAAAGCCTAAAATTGCACAGGATAAAGAAAGAACACACCACAAATGTTTAGTACAAAAAACATTAAAGAATCACACCTTCTCTGAAGTTTCATCACACCACTGAGATCATTAGTTAACGCATCAGAGTCTTCAAGCACGCGAGTTTTATCCTCAATCCAAGTGACAGTTTCCTGACAATCGATCCTGTAACTTTCAACCTATATCTATATCTTTTCACAAAACCTTAGGAAGACAAACTAGTATTGAACTAATCTCCTATCTTAAAAATGTACCACTTCCAACTGATTTCTCTAGCAAAGCATGTGGAGAACCAACCATTAAGTTGACTGTTTCACTACTATTAATAAACTCCTATCACTGAGTACAAAATGAAGAACAAGCCTGAAAGTCTCGAGACGGTGAGCGCGGTCAACTTCCGTTCTCTTTTGATCAACCATATCACGAAGTTGAGCCCAACGAGCATTTAGCTTATTCTGACGTTCCAAAATCTCGTCGGAATTCGGATGTTCTACATGCAGAAGCTGGCGAGCAAGTTCGTTCACTATTCCTACCTAAATAAAAAACCTCACAACTGTGAAGGAACAAAGGAAAATTTAGACGCGTACCTTAGCTTCTTGGCTCTTCATATCCTGCTCAAGTGTATCGAAACGATGCCTCATTATTTCAACCTCTTCAAGATCCTTCCCAGGAACCAGTGTCGCCAACAGTTTGCCCTGTAATAGGGAAATTTCTTTTAACAGTACTATTGGAAAATTCTTGACTGCACCTTCTCATCAATCCATGCTTCCACAGAATCAGCGTCAGCATAGAGCTTGTAGAGAGAAAGAGCGTCGATAAGCCGTTGTTTCCTGAGTTGGGAGAGATTTTCAAGTTCTGCCTTACGTCTAATCGTAGAGTCAAGACGTTCTCGAATGTCCGGATGTTCTCTAGCCTGAAAAATGACATCTCTGATAGAATGATGAGCAGCTAACGGATATATATATAACATTCTTCTCCATATCTGAAGAGAGCAAAATAAAGTAAAACCACGATATAGAACAATGAAATCGCAAAGCCTTCAAAAATACGTATTCAGGTGTGGGAAGGTATCCTGATGTAAATCTACATGTTGAAAATATTAGATCACCATGTTTTCCTATTCCTCAACCAAAAATTCTAAATACTAATCATATACTGCTTAACTCATACATTATTCGGCAACTATAAATATACGTCAGAAAGTCCACTTTCAGTACTACTACACATTAGCTCTTACATCTCGTTATATAATAGATTAAGTAGTTGGCAGAAATTCATACAAAAACAATGAAAAAGCAATTGGAAACCATAAAATAAGGGGCAAAAATTTACTGACATCAACCGGTAGAGCTTCGGCTTTTTGATAAAGCTCTTTGATGTGGGTGTCGAACGTCTGAAGTACGTCCGAAACGTCGTCGTGTTTCTTAAGAAGTAACTGCACGGTGCCCTCGTCTTTGCCGACGTCATCGCTTGAAACAATACGCAAGGTGTCGAGAAGATACGCATCTACATTGTCCGCATGAGTGAAGAACTGAAAAAGGAAACACTGCGACACAGCTGTAAGAAAAAGAAACAAATGGCAATCAGCAGGCTGAACACAGGAATCAGAACAATGGCGACGGAATAGAAACGGAACGGATATAATCGTGTGCACAAAATTTAAAATCAGATGAAGAAAGCTAGGCACGGCATTCAATATACCAAATACTATGGCAACGACGTACTCACAAAATGCACGTTCATAACTTCCTTTTTTTCCGTGGAACACCAGGAAAGCGTTCCTCAGGTTACGGATACCTAACGAATTACTCCGATATCAACAAAAGAGGAACAAACATACCATATAGTAATCAACTCCAGCATGAAGTCTTTCACGTCTCACACGTTCTAAATCGTGAAGCTTCTTTAGGTAATCACGAATCTCTTCGATACGAGGCGGGATATTGTCAGAACCTTAATTGCTTACATTTTCGTATTTTAGAGAAACATTCGCCAAACACGCTGAATTTCATGGTTACCTACCAGGGATATTGTTGGCAATCAACTCATCACCGTCTTTAGCAAGTTCGTCAAGCTGACGCTCAATGTCTCCAAGAGTATTTGCTGCATTTTTATGCTTCGCGAGGAGATGCGACACCGTAACAACATCTTTGCCAGTATCAGTAGAGCTGAGTACCTAAAGAACAAGCATTGTTTCCTTCTTCCAACCCTGCACAAAACGTAAAACCACTAAAACGAAGTGTCATTCCAAATAGAAAAAAATTGTTAAACTTACGCGTTCTTGTTCTTTAATGCTGTTTTCAAGATCAGCCACATCCCACCAGAACTGGCACAGTTTACGGTTATTTTCAAGGCGTCGCTTACGTTGGGCAGCTAGATCAAGCAGCTCTTGATATCTTAAAGAAATATATTCACACTTTATAGTAACTAAGTAACAGCATAAAAGATTGAAAAACCTCTGCTGTAAAATAGCTGAACGCTCGTCAACAACGGCCGGTTCTACTGGCAAATAACCACTACCATCTGGACCTTCAGGATCGCGGAAACTAAATGGGTGCACAATTCAAGCTCAAAGTGGAAGAAAAATTCTGACTACACCACATTCTCACATTAGCTAGGGGTAAAAGGAAATGTGGCATGGAATCAAATAGAAGATAATGAACCGTTGAGCTTGTGCTACAGCATTTCGGACACGCTCTCCAATAATGTTAATGTCAGATTCAAGTAGAGCATGCTTTTGCAACATATCTTCAACGTCCATAAGATGAGCACCAAGATCCTCTGATAAGAGACGTGCCTGAGAACATAAATAACTTCAAATTTATTACCTGTCTTAGACGATCGACAACTTCTTTTCCATAATATCTAGAACATAACATTTTCTAAATCCACTTCTTCCTCTCTTGTAAATATACCTTGATGTCATCCATAAGATCGAGTGTAAGAAGCATATCATGAAAGATGCGCTGTATAGCCATTGAGAGCTCAAGACGCACACGACGTGCAAGAAGAAGCTATAAAGGACCAATTCCATTCAACGTTCAATGATAAAGACAAAGATGAGAGGAATTTCCAACGATAAACCTGGAAAAGATAATTCCAAAGTTTGAGGACATTTTCCTTGCGATTGTTAACCTCTTCAATTCCGTGGAAATTCTCAGCCTCGAGTTCACCTGAAGTTCGCCTTTACGATAACTACCCTACAAAGGAAAAAAATGAAATTGTATTCTAAGATGCACCAGCAACAGCTACGACGGCCTGTACTCGCTCTTCATAGGCGAAAATATCTGTTTCAATGGCCTCATGTTTCTTCGTAGCAGCCTAAAAGATAATGAGGAATAAAAACAAAACAAACAAATAAGTAAAAAATAATAAAGACAAAAATAAAAGGATAATGACGAATTCCACACATTTTTCATATGCAAAACTACGCATGTCACCATCCGGAGAAGCTCCTCATTTCATTTGAGATATATGAGCTTAATGGATCGCTCTAAAGCGTAATAAAGAAAGACCAATATTTTAAATGGATACTACAAAAGTTCTTTAACAATTCGATAACAGTGGTACTGCACGTGATATAACGGTTCATGCAAGTTCTTGTCAACAGCTACAGAGCATACGTACGATAAAAATAACCAAAAAACCAGGTATCAAAATAAACTCTTTAACCGTCAATCACCTCGACACTGGCTAAATCGGTTCCAAAGTTATCCTGGCTGACAAGACGTTGATTTTCCGTTAGCCAAGTCTCCCTCATCTCAGCTTTGCGGTTAAACCGAGTAGCAAGCTGCTCCAACTTCTCCTGGCGGATTATTTCTTCTTTCAGAGCCAGCTCGCGCTCGTGTTCCGCTTTTTCAAGTAAGTCCCATGCCTAAAAATAAAAACTGCACACAAACGATTAAAACTTGTTTGATTTAGTTGTATGTCTAAAAGAACCATAAATGAATGCAACAGATAAGGCATTTATTAGCCTCAGCGCCAATTACCAACAACAAGGGACGATGTGTGTTAGCAAGGAGATTCTACAGCCAGAAAAACTACACTAAAACTGCATAACCACCAAAATTTGTTATAAAATCGGTCGAATTATACAAGTGTTTATGTAAAGTCTACTTCTCAATCAATTCCGTTTAATTTATTTCAGGATTTTATTCGTTTTTTTTTCTATTAGTCCACGATGTTTCTGATGCGCTGTTACTTTTAGCCTATCTACACATTAAGAAATTGTTCCTGAAGAAATAAATTATAGGTGTTAATTAAAAAGACCCTGTTGATGTCGCCGATAAGCTTCCCCTCACGGGGCACAAATGGACGTTGGTTGTTAGCACGCATAGCAGACTGTAGCGTGAACAAGAGCACTTCTAGCTCCCCCTTCTCTTCGAATCTAAAGTGAAAAGAACTCATGTTTACCACTGAACTATTTGAAAACTATTTGAAAACTTGACGATATTAATGATAAATACTTGAGCAAAAAAATATAACTGAGCAAAAAAACATTACGAACAAAAATTATGATAGACTAACTTAGGCGGCTTTTCTTGTGTTCTATAAGCATTGAACTCAGCGAGCTGTTCTTGCACTCCATGCAGCGAGTTGTGGAAGTTTCTGAAAGCAATATGTAGTATGCAACGAAGTCAGTCATGTACGACATCCATAGCCTAGAATAATTTGGAATTTCAGAGCTAGTTCAACTTTCTTCGCTTAGTTGCGAACTTTACTAAGTGCAATAAAGACCGCTACAACATACATATTATTATCAAGACGATCTAATCCATCCCAATCTACCGCAAGAAAACCCTCATTTTTTGGAGTTCAAAAGTAACAATTCGCTCTTTTTCATCAAAGATCTCGAATTCTAAAGTAGTTAAAAGAGCGAGATTCTGTGGTTGTACTTACTTCAGCTGAAAATTTGGCAAACACTGACTTCTGAAAACAAGATTTTATTCAGGTTTAAAGTGGAAATAATGCTTCAGAAAACTGATACACTCAACAGGATCAAACAGGAAAAGTTTCTTCTACACGCCCATGAAGTCTACACGTTCCCAAGTAGTTATTTGGAGAAAAATTACTGGCATTTCTTGAAAAACCAGCATCAGTAAATGCGTCGAACTCAACGTACGAACTAGAGTGAGTGCTTTACTAATTCCAGAGATCTCCTTCTTGAAAAATGATATAGGAAACTAAAATGAAAGGACGACCAATGAAAAAAAGCAGTTTCGAACAGAATTGAGCCGATAGATTACATCTACACGATAACCAAAATCAACAGCGTATCGTGAGAGTGCACGACACCAACTCGTATCATTTTCGACGACTTAAAAACGCCAACGACTTAGTGGAAACACAGTGGTGAAAAATCTGAACTCTAGACAGCCAGCTCTATTCCAACCAATATTTGTCCAACAACTACTTACTGGCACAAAGACATTGGAAAAAATACCATTCGACCAAAATAATTTATAACTGGTCTCAAGAACCCAATAAGAGAGTTGATATAGGACTAAACACTGTGCGAGTCGAAGATGAATAATCACATCACTTTCGATTTAATGATGGTACAGAACTTATAGCTATACCTATACGGAATTCAATAACAGATATCTGGTTTCAGTATCACTCGTTGAAAAACTAGTTTTCAGTTGAATCACCAGAAGTTGACGACTAATAGATTCATTTATGATGTCCAATTCTATTTAACGGCACTGACATGTCCGGACGCTCCATGTGTGAAGATCTTGGTCGAGAAGTTAATGCAATGAATAAATTAGCATCTCAGGCAAGCGGGAGGAAATAAGAGGGCTTGCATGGTTTATTGGAGTACTCAGTACGTAGTGAAAGGAACAAAAAATAGTCATCTCTGTACCATTTCGATTCTACGACGCCTTAATAAAATGGCGAGTGCCGTCTACGTCAAGATAAAAACCATTACATATCGGTCATGCACATAATGCGTTTTACCCACAACCCATTGATAAAGGCAACTTGCGACTATGCCCTACACGAAGACAAGTGCGGAATGGGAAAACCCTCAAACCCGCTGGCCCGAATTCTCTGACAAGAGAAATGTATTGTTCGCATTCCTAAAGCCTGCACAAGATCTCTTACTCGTAATAGCGAGAAAGAATTTACAAGCACTTGATTGAATTATTCGACGATCAAGGAAAGCGCAGATGGTACACACGTAGGTGATACACAGCACTACTTTATACAATAAGCCGGCTAAAGCACAGTGTAACAAGTTAAGCAATAAGAAACAAAAATGCTTCAATCTTACCTATCGTTAAGGACTTCAATCTTCTGTTTAATCCATTCCAAAAGGTCGGATGAAATGGTTTCATACCTATTAATCATCTTTTCGTTCTCCATCAGTTCATTAATAACCTTAAAAGAATTGAAATTTGTTGACCAAAACCAAGGTATTAGCAAAATCTACTCAACATCAATGCAAAAATATAATTAAGAGTCGGCAAACCAATCATACCTTGCCAATGCGTTTCCCTTGTATAGTCTCCTGTTTCATTTTATTGAAGTAGTGATAATAGGTAACAACATAGGTGATGATAGACTTCTCATCAGGATCGCGTACATTGACATCTTGAACACAATGCTTTCTTATTCGACACTCAATTTCAAACACTTTTGTTCACTGTCTTATGACCGACCGCACTTTACAAACCTTCAGCATCCAAGAATTTTGACAGTCCAAGATGTTGTTCAGCCGTATCGAAAGCATTTTGGAGATTATAGACGGCATTAGATTTTTGCAGATTATCGTAGTCGATTAAGTCTGGGCGGTGCTTGTGGATAAGCGCGTTAAATGCCAGACCATCACGCCAACTGCAACAGCAGTTGTTTATAAAGAATAACGGAAACCAATCGTCAGATAACGCACGGAAGAAATTCGCGTCCTAACTCATTGGTTTCCAAAATCTATTACCTTGTGGTAAAGTTTCGCACATTCACATTGGGATAACCAGCTGTTTTCATTTGGCACCAAAGCAGCAACGCTTCTTTGGCAGAACGGGTTTCATGATTATCAGCATCTTCGAAAGTGATATCTTGGATCTAAAACTTGATGTGTTAATTGCTCCAAGATTTACAATTATGACGATGCCCAGAAAAAAATTTTTTTCGAGATTATTATGAAACTACACTTTCAAAAATAATTCAGTGAAAGCCAAAGATTTTCAAAGAAAAAAAATCCTGAAGAAAAAACAAAATAATCACCTGGAATCGCAAAATTATGGTCCAGATTAAACCTAAAGTCAGGCGTGGATTTCCGTCGACAATATCATGACAGCCAAGATTTTCCAAGTGCACATGTTGATCCTTAAGAAACTGCAGGCCTTTGTCGACATTTTCTAGGCAGTGGATACGCATCTTACCACGAGTAGGTTTCGGCTAAAACAAACCAGAATAATAGTTGAGCTTCTCCGTAGAACATTCGCACACTACTTTGCAATAAATTCTGTACTAAAAACTATTGAATGCACCAAAAGATTGACTTTCATTAAACCTTGGCATAATAATCGATACACCCATATATGTTCTTACGAACTGCCCTTTCCGAACTGTTCTTAATAAGAACATCTACACCAACCTCGCGGCAGCTAAAAGGACAGCTCGTACGATCATATGTATATATATTAAACACATCAATGGAAACTGATTAATTAACTAGCAATACTAATCACTGCCACATGAAGTACCGAAGTGTTCCTTCTAAACGGCCCACAATTTGTTATAGCAATTGGAATGTGTACACGGTTGTTTTTTTTTTCTACTTTGAAAAACAGAAGCAGAAAAACGAAGAACAAACAAACAACTTTTATCAAGCCTGACAATGAGGATCCATTAGAAAAGTAGAGAAAGAGAGAACAAGAGAACAAAGCGCCCATTCAGGACCCTCCCATATCCTCACTATTTTAGTACAACGTACTTTTTCAGATTTTTTTCAGCATATAATTTTAAAAGTTATTATTAAAGAATGGAAAATTTTCCAGGATTATCTAACAAAACTCGGAAAGAGATTCCCAAAAACATCTATATCATTACGTTTGAAACATCCACATCCGACTGGAACACGTCGATACGCCCATTTCAAATACTAACCAGTCTCGTTTGAGCATTTTTTTTTCGTATAAACAATTCTCTTTTTTGGAAAATGAAAGCCACGGAATTAACGACATTTCCTGAACATCCGTGATAAATCACCTCAGCTAGGAAAAATGCTCTATAACATACCACAAAGGTGGCTGCAAAAAAATACTTGAACCAAAAAGAAAAAGTTTTATGATGTCATCCTTCTAAAGATTTTGAACTGAATATTGCCCAGATTAACTCTGTTTACCTACGTTACCCATAAAAAATAAATTTGCTTCACTTCACCAATCAATCCCTTACTTCCTTATATACCTTAATACACTGATATCCTGTCATCGTTCTAATATAGCAAGTTTACATCACTAAAATAACGCTCATTATTTCACAACAATCCCTACTTTCGAGCAAAACAAAGCATACCGAATCAAACGAACCAACCAGACGTTCTCCGGACAAAACTTCCAATAGTTTCAGTAACATTTTTCCATCTCGCATATCCATATAAAGATCCTGGATTTTGCAGCTTACTCTGACTAAGTGAGAATTCACCCATTTTGTAAACGTTTTCTTCTGAACGTGCTCACGTTCTTCTGAAAAAGCATAAATGTATATAAAGTCGCCAACGATTAGAATCTGAAACGTAACGTAGTCACTGATGCGAATAAAGTATGATAATCGCTGACAGATTTATACAAACATAATGTCGATGAATAGACATTTCAAGCTTAAAACTATAACTGTAAGACGCACCGGCTCACAACTGAAGTAGCAGTAAAACCTTAGCAACAATTAAAGGTTAGAAATCTCGATATAAACACCACCCAAAAACTCTGTCAGCGCTGTCAAATCGAATATTCCTCTGTCACAACTTTTATTTCCTGAGATTCTTTCCAACATTGCGCGTAACCCAAAAATCAAGACTCGATCAAGAGTCTCTATTTGGGCAGCGGCCCACGCCATGGGACAGTTTCCCAAGACATTAGATTGACGATAAGGTTTATCCTCAACTATCTCATTTCAATATGACGTAGGACGTAGACATGATGAAGGTGACTAGTCCATTATACATGAACTGCTATTCCACCTTACCAAACAGATAACCGCTATAGCAGGTCTCCATTAACCAAAAGACATTGTATCCCAACTGCTTCAATTTCGCCATTAAACCAATCCTCAAAAATATTTGTACAATTTCTGATACCTATGCCTAAGTAGAGTTTAGCAATAATTTACCCCCCATCGTGGCTATGAGGTGTTCCTGGATGTCGGACTGTGATGTACAGCGGGGGATTCATCTACTGCCAGAGTCTCCCAAGGTGAGAAGGAATCCGGCGTTTCCATCAGGAAGCCTAAGAGTAAACCAATACCATGATCCAACACTGTCCTGGTATCAAAGTCGCATGGTGGACTGCCTGTGGTGGTGAAGACCTGGAGCAGACTTTGGACTAGGTGACCAAGGGATTCCGGGGAACCACAATGGCTTAACCAGCAAATCTCCGAAAAATGGAGATTATGCAGGGACCCGCACAACCACGGGCCATTCAGGTACCAAGTACCAAGTATGTGTAAGTAGACTCCTATCATAAACTAGCTAAATTAGTCCCTTATGAACATTACGAAGATTGCAAAATGCTCATCGAATCATTAAATTCAAGACTAGATTTTAAAATGCCCGTAGATAAAGTAATAGCCTCATCGACCGCTGATTACCATGACATGCCCACCATTACAAACCGGCAGATAACAATCCGAAGCTACAGAACAGCTCTCAAAAAACATAGCGCTCATCTTAGTGCCAGATTACCTCCAAACTGTCATACGCAAGATTGATCCCTACTCCATTGAGGTCTTAAAAGGGAACTCCACTTCAAACAGAGATGCCCACTTTATTGACCCGATGCAAACTCTGCGTCCGTGTGGTATTCAACAATACTCTATCAATATGGTATGTACAACAGGTCACATTTGTAACATTCTTGCATCTAGAATCAAAAAAGCAATTAAAAATTTTCCAATAATTGTTACCTTAAAAGTAAAACTATCCGGATCGGTTCACTTCCTGAGGAATTAAATCACCAGCATTCATTTTTCTTGGTAAAAGTACTATTCAGAAGGACTATGTGCACACTAACGACAAATCGCTCCACACATCGGTACCTCGTAAAGAAGACCCTCATTTGATTAACTATCGCACTAGCTGAGAAGGTGGGAGTGTGAATGATCCCCATGGACCAATCTATGCACGAAAACAGTTGCCACAAATATGAAAACGGCTGGCTTTTCAATAATAAAGGTCCTCGTTAACTACCTAGTTAACAAACACGAAGAAATTCTAAAGAAAACAGTCCCTTAAACAAAGCACGACCGAAGGTTCTCTTTTTTTAATAAATACTGGAGCACTCCAAGAAAAATTACTCAAAATCTTCTATGAAACAAGACGTTTTGAAGAACCTACTCTTACATAATATTATACTACCATAACAGTAACTAGTCAAATCGAAAATACTTAAATGTTACTTCGCTAAAAAACCGATTGCACTTCCTCTGCAGTAGAGTGCTTTTTTTATCTAACTTTATTTTTATCTCAGGCGCCTATGGCGCAGTGGTAGGCGCCCTGCAATACACAGGGTATCGATTCCGGCGTTCTTGCCTCACCAAGCCTTCCATCACTGTAGGATCGCCAAATTGGTACAAGACTTGTTTGGGTGGATAACAGCACTGGCTTGATACATCGGTAGGACACCGCAAGTCATTGCAAACACCAGCTATGCATTCAATCACCTCCAAACGATGCTTAGTGAAGTCGAATGCATGGCGCATTCCTCAGGGATTGATCAACGACCACAGCTTTATCCTTTAATCCTTTATCTTTATCTTACAAGGGTATCTTACGAGGAGAGCCTTATCCTTTTATCCTATACGCAGTCCCACGGAGGTTAACTTGAAACTAAAAACTGAAACACCATTTTAACATCCACGACTATATCTTCTAAGGAAAGCAGATGTGAATGTAAATACATCTTTTTAATGAAAGATACCCGTGCAACAGTAATTTCTTTAAGCGATCCAATTTTAACCAGGCTAATTTTTAGTTAATTAAAACAGTCACATACAATCCATGGAAATCATATTGCAGTTCCCTCTACCTATCGCGTAAATACGCCGATGACAACATCAACTTTATCGAAAACACCGACATGACACTGATGCATAGTGACCCGACTAAAGATCTACATAAAACGATAGAGGCAATTCTAAACCAGTTGTATCCAACTGCGATTTCATCGAATAAAAGTAGTCAATGTTCCAATATGCATGTTTCGCTTGGATAAGAACACTTATTTAAGAACATTTCTAGATGGCCCACATAATCAGTCATCCTCAAAACAACCCCGATGTGACATAATTTGGAAATCGGAAGAAAAAACTGTTTCTAACGTCCACTGTGAAGGAAATCCACAAGTCGCTCCTATGAATATTGCCGCTTTTCCCTCGTATTTAAGCAATATGCAATTGTGGACAAATAATTTAAGAAGCATGAAAATGTATTCAACTGGAAAAAACACTTAGATGTTATGGTGGAATTGGTCTGAATTAGTTAAAAGAATAAAAAGAATAAGACCCACGTTGATCTATGCCTGAGGGATGCACCATACATTCGAGTTAATTAAGCATCGTTGGAGGCGACTGAATGCATATCAAGCCCTAACAATTACCCGCGGTGGCTTACCGATGTATCCAGCCAGTACTGCTATCCTCCCAGACAAGTCTGGTGCCAATTTGTTGACCCCTGGGGCGTGCGGATCGATCTCATGTGTATTACATGGCGCATCTGACCACTGTGCCACACGTGCCCTATTAAATGAATAACTCGAGAAAAAGAAACGATACAGTAACCGACCAGCAAGAGCTTTGATGCGACTGCGTTCGAAGAGACGGGCGGATGAGTTCTCATCATATTCCTCGTCTTGCATTCCACCGCCACCACCGAGATCCGCCGTGTTGTTCTGGGTGACGCCAATACCGTACGCCATCGCAGCAGCTGCCTAGAATACCAACAGAAAAAGAAATCTTCAACACTTTAAGAATGACCATCTCATAGCAACAGTGACTAACTAGAAGTTTGCCGATGTGCTGAAATCTAAAATAATTCACACAGATCGGACCACCTTACATTTTTAATTAGGACTAAAGAACATAAAGGTGAAAAAGAGTTGAACACCGACGTTATACTAACTCTCATAGCCAAAGCTGCCTCCAGTACTCTTGAAAGAGACGTGAAAAAAGCAAAAAAGTGGAAGAAACTTAAGTTCACGCCTCTCAACAAAATTGAACACTAGAACACAACACAGACTAACAAAGTAAGCAAACCACGTTACTTTAAGGGAAGAAAGCGGTGCAGAACAGCCATAGTTAGTTCCTATTGCGATTACACCAAGGATATTCCATTTGAATAGGAAATATAACGTGAAAAGAAACAATAACCAAGGGGAAAAACAGAAATTGCTATAAGAATAGAATAAAGGATAAAAAGGCATAAAGGCACCGGTGTTGATCAATCTCTGAGGAATTTGCCACACATTCTATTCCATTCATGGCATCGTCGGAGGTGACTGGATGCATATCTGGCCTATACAATGATTCGCGGTGGCCTACCGACGTATCGAGAAAGTGCTGCTATTCTCCCAGACAAGTCTGGTACAAATTTGCCCACACCGGAGGAAGATGGTGGGTGGGCTGGAGGCGATGGATCGATCTCATGTGTATTGCAAAGCATGTCTAACCACCACGCTATACGCCCCTTAGTATATACGTTGACTTCAAAAAATGTTTATATAAGCCTCGAAAAATGGCAGAAACGTCAAAAACAAAGGAATGTGACATACCAAACGAAAATATTGTCGAATTTGTGTATTCTGACCTAGGTACTTCATTGCGGATATTGCGGACAATACACGTAACAATACGCTTCCTACTTTTGCGCAGGTCATAACCATCATTAAATGATTAGATCATTTTCAGATTACGATGGTGGTCCTCATAACGGAAATGACAATAATAGTAATGAAAACTCCTCTTACTACTACTAATATTACTATTGCTACCCACGTTGACTTAGCGCCCTATCGCAGTTAATGGATATTCCACGCTTTCAGTGTCACTTAGTCTGAGAAGGAGTTCGACACTCCCTTATTGAAACCCACTTACGAATAAACCAGTACAATACGAGGAGCCACTACCACCTTGGTGGCAACCTCCTCGAAGGGTGATCCCCCGATAACGACTTACGAGAGCCCATGAGCAGGACAAGAAAATCTTACCCATCCGGCAAGTTACTATTCAAATTTCATTCCCCACAATAGAAACTACATGATTCTTGATGAAGATTCCGATCCCGATTCCGATTCAAGTATTCCAATATTATCACTTTTTATATTCTTATACGAAGAGATGATCATAAGCGAAATAGACAACTTTCACATAGAGCGATCAGGGAAAAACAAAGCGAACTGAAATTGCGCTGAGGCTCATCGAACTTGTGCTGGAGAACCGTTCAAATACTTTGTTAGTAGGTTAAAAAATGATATTACCAACTATTGTTTTTTAAAAACACTATCACAATCACTAGCACCCGTTCAGGGCAGAGGCGCCCTGCTGAGATCGATCCTGCACCCCAAGCTCACCAAGCCTTCCATCCGTCTGGGATCGGCAAATTGGTAGTGGACCTATCTGCAAGGAATGCTGCACTGACTCGATACTCGATACATCTTTAAGCGCCCATTAGTCATTACGTAAGCTATATATGCATTCAATTACTTCTAACGATGCATAATAAAGTCGAATAGGTGGAGCATCCCACCGACGTTGATCAACGCCGAGAGCTTTATCGTTCATTCTTTGTATAGTAGCGCGTATCTTAGCAGATCTTTTATTCGGTTCGTCGTCTCATATATGTCGTCATCCACGAACGTTCTCAAATGTGCGTATAGAGTCGAGTATTACTTAAGAATTATGTCTTTGTCGTGAACATCGTTATATGTTCCAACTGATTACTCCAGGAGTCTAGAAAAGCTTTGCCAGAAGGTTAACAAGTCCTCACTACACAGGGAGACATCATCCATTGTGGATCACAAGAAGCACCTCGCAGACACTTTGGCATAAAATTTCCAACGCCACCAGGATGAGGCTTGGTTGCATTGTAATGGTTATGAACCAGCTAGCATGTGCGCAGTGCACAGGATCTCTAACCAGTTCGCTTCCGCACTAGTTGTAATAAATAGGAGTAAGAATATGACAATAAAGGATTGCAAATAGGTAGGACACCATGATTTGGCAGCGAATTCCAGAGCGTATAGTTTCACTTCTCCATAAGCTACATAAAAACGTCCTTTTATGGAGACGTGGAGCAAACAAGGAAAAATTTCCTTAAACCACCTGCTCCACTTTACGTAAATAAAGGCCCATGCAGTAGGTTACGGAAAAAAACGTCACAGTATTTTCAATATATATCTTAGAAGTCACTCCTTCTTTGTTAAACCTAAAGAAAATAATTACATCAACTTACAATAAAGAGGTTAAAGTGAAAGGCTGAGCCAAAAATGGAAGTCATTCTCTCTCACTTAAGGAACTGCTTGAATACCTAGACACTTTGATGACCTGTTCTAACGGGTTTTGTGGGCCTCAGTATAGTCTCCATTTTTTCGGAGTTTTGTCGGTTTAGCTATTGGTGTTACCTAGAGTTCCGAGGTCAGTGTGGCCAAAATCTGTCACAAATCGTCACTACAACACGTAGTCGCCGCCCTTGTGGATCAGAAGATTTGCCGCCTAGTTGCCGAGTAGTTTGATACCAGGACGATAGTGGATCCTGGTATTGGTTAATTGCCGAGATATACATTTGAAAACAATTTAAAGGTAAGAAGCTTTTTTTTACTGAGTTACACCTAGGTGGTTCTGCACAAAATTTAACGGAGCTCTTGTGAAAAAAGTGAAAAAATATTTTCTATGACCAAATAAACACTGATGGAGCAATCCCTCACTAGTGTTAGAAATGTTCTTGTACAACGGATATAGATGAAGCAGAAATTATTGCTAGAAACCAACGAGAATCCACTATCACCAAAACTAACGCAGGAAATCTTGAAGTTTATGAAACAGCAAGATAGAAAAAGAAGCCTGAAAAGAAAAACGGTCGTTGAAATCCTCTTCAGTACAATGTTTTTGTATTCCCTTATTTTCATAGATGAGCATAAATAAAAGAATAAAATCCGCCTACACACTGTGATATGAAGATCCAAAGGCACTGAGGAATTGTCGAGATCAGTCCAGTCGCCCACCATAGCTGTCACTGATTTAAGGTAAACTGTAGTTAAACTGCCAGAACGTGTAAAATGACAGATTTTGGTACGACTCTACGAAAAAATTTTCCACCGACGAATTTTCTGAGTGCCTTGCTAAACGCTTTTGTTTTTCACTGTTTCGTAGACGTTTTTAGTTACTAATGTATCTACTTACGCGTGTGGAGGGGCGCGTGTGGCGCAGTGGTTGGAGGCGCCACGGCGACACACATGTGAAATCGATCCCGCGCCCATGGCCCACTAAACTTTCCATCCTTCCGGGGTCAGCAAATTGGTGCTAGATTTGTTTGGGAGGATAGCAGCACTGGCTCGACACATCGGTAGGCCACCGCGAGCCATTGTAAAGGCCAGATATGCGTTCAATCACCTCCAACGATACTTAATGAAATCGAATGTATGGTGCATCCCTAACGGAATTGATCAACAGCGAGAGCTTTTTTCTTATATCTACTTACTACGGAAATAACTACATCTTACGTCTACTAGTAATAATTACAGCTTTCATCTAAGCTTATACGTCAGATATGTGTAAACAACGGAGATAAATAATAATTACAAAACGAGTACCATTCGTTAACTCGAATGTTGCGAAAGAGCGGAAAAATGCGGCACTACTAGAAATTTAGGACGGATCCCTAGCTGGTCTCCGTCTCTCGGAATTCCATTTTCAACAACCGACCTTCGGAAAAGGGCGCATCGATTTTGTGAAATGAAGTCTCTCGAGCATAAGCCGAGAGAGAACAAGGCCAAACTGAGAGTAAACTGGAGCGTAAATCACATTTATATGAAGTCTTCAGCTGAGAAGCATGACGTAATACAAGTGCGGAGGAACGCAGAATGCAGACTATGCGTGTGGTGAAACAAAAAAAAAAACTGTTACGAGAGAAAAAGAACAGCAAATAAGGAGCAAGGCAAGAGGAATAAGTTTAAACACTATTGATTAATGGCAAGCTTGAACATTATTGATTAATAGTAAGGTCAGAACAAGAGGGATATGCAGCGCAGAGGACCTCCTAAATCCGTAGATATCCCGAGTAATATGAAAGGTAACCACTTTCCATTGATAAGCTGACACGAGGTTGATAAAAAAAAACTTCATTCGACTGAAAATCAGCAAGATAAAGCTCTTTACCAACCTCATGTTGGCTTATCAATGGAGAAAAGTACACGTCGATTACTGCTATGGACTGAATTTCACTTAACCGACCTCGTGTTAACTTATCAATGAAATAAGGTACATCGATCATTCATACCAGAGTTAAATGAAAATAGGCTCATAACGGTATTACTTCGCTACGTGCAAACTCATCTATGCCGACTGCACTAGAATGGATGGTTCATTTGAACAACAAATTATCGACAGAAAATCATTAAAAGGAACAGCCGTCCAGAGCTGCAAAGTGAGATTTCCTAATTCGAGCGGTGCTTTACTGATGATGGTCCGACTCGATAGGGCGACGAAGACGTCAGATCGAGAAGACGAATGACTGTGGACAATCGACTCGGATCATCGACTAAGGAAGACGAAGACGTTGAAACGTAAGCCGAGGGAAGGGGAACCTCATGCTAGCTTAATAATCCAAAAAGGCATTGATTATTTAACGTCGAGGCTAAATGACGGTCGGTTTGTAGAATATATAACAGGTATCCTATTCGCCGAAAATATTCGCTAAAAGTGTAGAAGAACTTCATCCTAGATATAAGGCGTGCCATGGCTTATGGATAAGATAAGCTTAAGGATTCTACAAACAAATCCCTTTTGCTAAATGAAGATGCAAAGATATTTGGCCGAAAATTCCACTGAGAAATTCAAGTCAATTTCAATACAGCTAGACAAGTTTATCCACACTACCCCGTAGTTTTAAAAGCGAAAAAGGGTAATATTAAGACTCGCTATTAGTTGCGAAGCATTGAAACCATGGAAACCTTAAGAAGAGTTAATGGTAGGCTACAAAGCGTTCCTTTCATTACAAGTCAAGGTCATCGCTAAATTAAAGTTCTTAACGCAGAAGGAAAACCCGTGGCGAAAACCGAAGAGAATTAAAAGTGGAGTCGA